CTGCGCCCCATCTAATCCCCTCTCCTTCCTGACTGCCCCCCGGGATCCCTGCCCCCATTCAACCCTGTTTCCCACCCCAACCACCATCCACACCTCCACCCCCTGACCACCACCCCAAACTCCCCTGCCCTCTATCCAACCCCCCCCCACTCCCTGCCCCCTTATCGCGCTGCCTGGAGCACGGGTGGCTAGCAGCGCTGGAGCCAGGCCACGCTGCTGCCGCCACCGTACAGCACAGAGCACCGGGTCAAGACGGACTCTGCAGCTGCGCTGCCCCAGGAGCTCACAGCCACGCCGCCCAGAGCATTGCGTCAGCGGTGGAGCGAGCGAGCTGAGGCTGCGGGAGAGGGAGGCGAGCCTCCCAGGCCAGGAGCTCAGGGGCCTGGCAGGACGGTTCCGCGGGCCGGATGTAGCCCGTGAGCCATAGTCTGCCCACCCCTGACCTGGATGCTTTTTGCCTAAACACAGAAATAACAGCCATGTTTTTCTGACATGAAAGTTACTTAAGATTACTACACAATTTTTGGATCAATACCCTATCAAAATCAACCCATTCAGAGCTTTTTCAGTGCCATACTTACCATAATAATTAAAATTAAAACTCATTGAAGAGAAGACTGAAGATGTTCCTGGAACATTCAGCAACATGCTGTTGCAATCCTATACTCCACAAGCATAAAGCAGAGGTAAAAGTTGGTCTGTCCAAAATCTCAAGCATATTAGCCAGCACTGAAATGGGTAACTGAAGTGGTTAAGTAACACTAGGTTGTGCTTCTGGAAATATGAGTAGAGTTACCTTTCTTGAATAAAGGAACAAGGCTGCTTACGTAAACATTTCACCTGGCCTACTCCTTGCAAGAGCAAACGTCTTAAAATAGTTGGCTAGACATTAAGTTACTTTACAAAGTATTATTCCACATGCCTTGAAGTAGAAACTGAAGGCTCTTTGTTAAATGGATTAAAGGTTGCCTACTTTTACTGTACCTTATGAAAGTAAATCTAAATTTTACTAAACTACTTCACTTCTAAGAGAGATACTTTTCAGTGAATCACACTAAATTTGTGTTTGTGTGTGTACTTGTATATACATATATGAGAGAGTTAGGCATTTTTAATACCCCCACCACATCTATATGTTGGCACAAGTTACAGAAAGAGTACAAGAACTATTTTTCTGCCCTGTGACTCCAACAGTGGACCACCACCACTAATCAGACAGCCATTTAATCCATGAATTAGCATTTTCCACACCGATACTATTACTAATATAGCCTCTAAAGTAACTCGCTTTCATTACCATTTGCACACACTGACATGATTAGCAATGGGGGTGCTGCCACGTCTGGCTAGCCAATTTATGACACTTTACAGGATCTGATTTTCAGAAAGCAGGTGCTCAGCACTTACTGAAAAAACATCAGGCCCCTTTAACTGTGTCAAGTTTGAACTCATCTCAAGTATTTAAGAATCCATAAGAAACCAAGCTATACGT